AATGTACTTCCATCAAAATCATTAGGTTTCAAAACAAAATGAGTATCTATGCCTTCACTATAAAAATGGAACGGTGGTGAGTTTCATCTATAATATATATATATATAACAAAACGATGTGCCGTCGTCTCCGCTCTGCTAGAGTTTCGCCTCCTGGCGAACCCTATCGTCTGCTGTTTCGATATCTCTCGTGTCTCTGCTTCAGCTTCGTCGCCGGCTTCTCGCGTTGTCTACCGCTATCTGCTCGAGCTGATTTTGCAGGGGTTCTCATCGTCTGCTTCTGTGATTTCGGCGGGCTGCGTCTTGTTCGCTACAAGCTATAGGGCGTCGTTCTGCTTTATCTGATTTTACAGGGCTTCTTCAAAGGGGTTTCCGCTCGTGTGTTTGCTGCAGGCTGAAGGGCGTCGTTATGCTTGAGCTAAATTCGCACGGCTTTTTCATAGGGTTTTCCGCTCTTGCTCCCTGTTTTCTGGATTCAGACTTTGCTTCTTTCTTTGCTTTCTTCACTGTTCTTAACGCCACACCTTCATGTATTGGGGATGGCTTCGGAAAGATCATATGTTGCTGCCCTTGCGGGTGTCCACGCCTCAGGTAAACCTAAATTGTGCTATTTACTTCCTTCGTTTGAGTGGGAGGATGATTTTAAGAAACCTGGTAGGAAGAATGCGAAGCCTGCCATCCTTTTTATAGAAGCTGAATGCATTCAACTTGCTTCCTCCTGTCGACTGAATTTTGTTGGAAATTTCTGTATGACTATCCCAAAATGGAGTTGATTCGTAAGGAATTTGAGCTTATGCACTTGGTTGGGGAGTGAAAATTTGGAATGTTAGATGTAAAACACATTCCCATACAGATTAATAATGAAGAGAATTACACGCGTTTATTTGCTATAAGGATAATCTAGATTAATAACAGAGCAATGATGATTATGAAATGGTCTGTGGATTTTGACCGCCAGACGAAACCTCCGATCATTCCGGTTTGAATTCGCATCTCTGGTATGAAATTTCATTATTTTACTCAAAAAGTTTTGTACGTTATTGCCTCAGCTTATGGTAAACTACTCAAAAAGGACATTCCTACTTTTAATCTTTCCCGTTCATTGGAAGTCAGAGTACTTGTTGAAAGAGACATCACTTCATCTGCTTCTTAGAAAATTTAGTTAGGCATACAACAACATGGGTATTGGCAAAATGTAGTGATCGAGTCTTTTCTTTCGTATTGTTCAAACTGTCGTATGTTCGATCACTCCAGTTCTCAATGCCACCATCCACATCCACATCTCATACCAAAAAGCACAGTGCTCTGCCAGAGGCAGTGATTTCATCTCTTCCTGATCAGCTCCAAGTTATTGACACTATTGATCATCAAAAGGATACCCTCGAAGACGCCACTATTCTTGCAGACAATATTACAACTATTCAGTCTACACACAATGTTGTTGCTCCCCCGTCTTTGGAATCCCTTATCGTGGGGGCGAGAGATTTTTCAGACCCCACCTGCTCTAGAACGTATCACTGATATTACAGGTGACAATACTTCTACTGCTTCACTACAGCCTCATCAGGTCGAGCAAAATATTAATGTTACTCAAGCTTATGGGGATCATGATGTGCAACAAGCTACACATGTTCGACCACTTTTGGAACAATCCATTGATCATTTGAGTTAATCCTCAGATGAGGAATGACATGTCTACACATCCAGGTGGAAAAAGAAGAATGGAGAACTACTTGAGCATAGGAATCTGATGGACGATTCTTTGGTTACTTCGGGTAATGGCAATATCCTTTTGATGATCAATAGGAGGAGCTGGAAAAAAAATATACTTAGAAATAAAGATTGCGGGTAATGACATGTCTTTTTTCGTCCCATTATCCTTCTCAGTTTTGGGAAAAAAATGAAGTTAAACTTAGAAATAAAGATTGTGGAGTATGATATAATTATATAGAATAAAGACTATCAAGTTTTTTCTGTAATTATTGTAGATTTTTAATTTTAATTGCTAAGTTCATCATATAAGTTATTTAAATTTTGGAATCTAAAGCTTTAAAAACTATGTAAAAAAATTATAAAATAACTTAATATGTGTAGGATGCTCTGGTGAAATAATTCACAAAATGGAGATCAATTAACTATAAGAACAAGCACTAAAACTGAAGACTTATATATAAGCCGAAAAAAATGCTTTAATTTCCAACGACATTGCGACGGTTTATGAGCTGGGTTATTTGCAATGGCGTAACTACAGAACATGCCTTCGCTTGGCAATAATAATATTTTTTTCGACGGTTTTTATTACTACAGACGCATGATACCGTCATTTATGAGCAAATATTAACCGACGATCATATTTCGTCGATAATTTATGGACTCACTATTTGATGGTGTGTTAATCGACAATCTTTTGTAATAAGCGGCTGAAATTTTTGTCAGTAATAATGTTGATTACCGATGGTTTAAAAGTCGTTTATAAGCTGTCAGAACTAATTTTTTATACTGCCAGAATTGCAACACTTTTCAGACGGAAGTGCAATAGTTTTCCTACGGACATATTTTTTGATTATATAACCGACGATTAAGGTACGGTTAAATATGTCATGTTTTACTGACATGCACTTCTATGACAGAAGTGCAACATGTTCCTTACGGACATATGCGTCAGTTGTATAACCGATGATCAAGCTAAGGTTAACTTAACATGTTTAGGGATCAATAGCAACAGTTATGGTTCGTTGTATATCCGTTGGCTAATGTGAATCGTTGCTAAATCCGACAGTAATTTTATTACCGATAAGCTTTTTTGCTACGTCAATTTTGTTGTCGCTAAAACGTCAGTAGATATATTATATACGGTTTTTTACGTTATTACTAGTAATAAGCTAAATTTCGGTAGCGACTGTAGAAATTCATTTTATATAAACATGCATAATTTTTTTAAGGAATTTTTATAGTAATTAACCCTCTATTTTTATATGTATAATTACAAAATATGATAAAAAATCATTTGAAATTGAGTTCTATCATACTCTTTAATGTAGTGGAGATGATTTATAAATCAAACTTACAAGGAGTTTATAAAAATTATTTTAAAGTTCCATATTAAAAATTTTGTGTTTAAAATTTCAAGGATTTTTTGATACCAGAATTTAACAAACGCCGAAGGGATAAAAATGTTGCAAATACTATTATTGAATTTAAAGTAATTAAAATAAAACAACAGTGAAATTTGAAATTGCAATAAAACAACAACACAACCTAAACCCTCCTCCTAGTCCAAGATGAAAAGGAAGATATAACACAAGTACCTTCTGACACATTACATACATGACATGTTCTTGATACTTTACTATTTAGAGCAAACATATCTCTCTATAGAGGAGTATAAAACTGACTTCGAGCAATTTATGTTAGAGTGTGAATTAGTGGAATTTGAGGAAAACTCCATAGCTCCATAATTGGGGGATTGAGACTGTCCATTAGTAATGTGTTATAGTAACAATACTATTGGATGTTACAAAATTTCCAAATTTTGTCTAAGAAGTTGGAGAGACAACACAATTGTATTAGGTCCACACCACTCTTCAAACAGGTTCAGCTTAGGCGCTCCACACCACTTATTGGACGGTTCTAGACTAACTTCATTGTAGAAGAAACTAATTCAAAGTGGATAAAATGTGGAAACCACCGTATCAACTAAGAAATGTTTGAAGTGTTGTGATTTTGGGCACATTGCATCCGATTGCCCAAACAAGAGGGTGATATCTTTCACTGAGCTAGCAACAATGAAAAATATAGGCAATGACACAAGAAATATCGAAGTAGGTGATCAAGCACAATACTAGTTTCCAACCAACAAGAGAGACGCTAGTATGTTGATAGGTTCTACATATTGAGCTCTGTTACATCATCTTTCATACCCATTGTACGATGTAGGTAAAAGCTTGTCGTCTCATTATAGATGGAGGTAGATGTAAAAATGCGGTATCTACACAGGTGATCGACAAGTTGAGTATGACAACACAAAAACAAACTTAACTTTATTCTCATTCTTACTTGAAGAAAAGAGAATAAGATCACAGTTGACATGGCATGTTTTGTTGACTTTTCTATTGGAGAAAATTTCTAGGAGCGAGTGTCATGTGATCTGACCCCTATGGATGTGTCATGTCCTATTGGGCCGTCCTTGACAATATCATTATTGCATATATCATGTTTTCTACAAGAAATGGGAAGAACATTGTACTCTTTTGGCAAAAAGAGTCTGAGGTAATGGGCGTTCATATATAGTTTGAGGATGTGGTGCCACCAATCATCTTTTTGCAGACTTTGAGAGCAGCAACGATTGTCCAAGTGGCCAATGTGTTCGAGGAGTCGATGCTAGACATGGGGTATTGTCAGTTAGAAGAATTTTGGGATTTTAGGGCTTAAAGTCCACGTCTTAGGTTGCCACTAGTGAGATAGGTCTGACATGTCATCCTTTGGAAAAGAGGAGAAATTTTTGAGTTACTTCTAGAAAGCTATAGGGATTGAGTTGGGTACTAAGTTTCAATTTAATTCAATTGATGGCCAGTTTGGAAGGGTGAATTGATTTTTTGAATTACTTCGCGAGTGTTTTGTGGGAAATTATATCAGACAATAGGATCCATTTTCTTCCATAGAAGACATGGCCTCTCCTACTTGGGGAGAGTGATGGGAGATACGGAAATTTTATGTGCATCCACGATTCCGTTGTTTTTTAGCCAGTTTTGTGGATTAAATTTTCGTCACATAATTCTTAGATGTATCTGTATACAAAAAAAATATATTCTGTAGTTTTGTTATTGCTCTTTAAGCAAAACATATTGTTAATTTTAGAATCTATCACAGTTTTAGTAAATCATCTTTTGGCCATGGTAAACATTTTAGGTATTTTTGTTTTTTATTTACGGTGGATCATTATTTCTCGTTTTGTTGTCATGCAAATTTATGTTCTTATAAAGACTTTTTCATTTTGTGAAGTTCGAATTTATGAATATTCATGTCCATATTGAGGATGGAATAGTTGAAGTTATTGGAAAGAATAATTCTTCAAGCATTGCTATGGTTGGCCCTAGTTTTTCAGTTAGAGCTGCAACTGTTGGAATCACGACTATTTATGTAAGTTTGCATTATCTGGTCCTTATTATTATTGTTATGTTCAATTTTAAAAATCTTAGTGTCCTTGAATGCATATCTAGTTTTCCATGAAAATTTCAGGTCCGTGTGAGACAATGGTCTGGACATGAAAGATTAAGTCAAAACGTTAAGGTTGAAGTTTATAAACCACTGCTGTTGCATCCCAATTATATTTACCTTACGCCTGGTTCCTCTTATATGGTAAGAACAACTCTGGCACCTTGATCCAGCTTTCTTTGTCTGCTGTTCGCCTATGGTAGAAAATAAACCATTTTGCTAGCCTTTTTTGGCATCAGAGCTTGCTGTTCATTCTACTTGAAGTTACCTGATAATTTCATGGTGCTTTGCTTCAAGTCAAATCAATACCATCCCTTGCATGAATTTCTAGCATAACTTAGAAATCGGCAAAGTTAGCTCATTCAGTCACTTAAATAAGGCATTTTGGTTTTTTATTTGAATGATCACAATGCCATTTAATCCACTTAAATGCTTTCTCATCTATTTGCTTAAAACTTATCATATTTTTATGCATTAGATTTCTGTTTTTGTTTCTTTTGGTTAGCTCAAAGCCGAAGGTGGTCCAATCACTCGAGGATTTATCAAGTATGCAAGCATGCATGAAGAGACTGCAGTAGTGCACACAACTTCTGGAAAACTTTCTGCTATCTCCATTGGAAATGCTGTACGTTGTTCGCCCTTATAAATTGTAGCCTGCTCGTATGAAATTGATCTAACTGAAACAGTATGTGGTTGGTAAAATGATGATCTGATGCTCTATGCTTGTTTGTGACATGGTTGAATTTTGTTCATTAGCACTGTTTTTTCTTTTTTCTTTTTTTCCATTTTCTCATGCTTTGTATCTGTTTTTCTCTGGCGTATTACATAGTGTACGATTTATCTTATGGCTTACCAGAAATCTCACATGTATGGACTATTTTTATTTTATTTAATAGTTATTCCAAGCTTTTAAAGGTTCAGTATTTATGTATACTTTTGCGTTGTTTGCAATTTTAGAGTGTCCGTGCAGAAGTTTATGGACAAACAGGCAACTTAATTTGTGAAGTATATGGTAGAGTGGAAGTCGGGATCCCATCCATAATGATTTTGAGTTCACAGAGTGACCAGCTATGTATTGGTTGCAAAATGCCAATTTTTCCCTCTTTTCTTCAGGCACGTCTCAAAAAAATTTTAGGTATATTTATTATTTTTGGTGTGGTGCTGGAGGATGCATGCTATGATGCAATTTTTTGTTTCCTGTAGGGAGGTTTATTTTCCTTCTATGAGGTATGCAACAACTATGAATGGAAGGTGGACAGTGAAAAGGTGCATTTTTTGTGAAATTTCATTGATGTTCCCTTTTTTATGAACCTCTTGACAGGGTGGTGCAATTTTTTATGTAGACCGTGCAACACGAAGGTGCTAGAGCTTTGACATCAGATGTTGAGAAATTGCACATACAGTGTTCGGATGGATGGACCACTTTCTGTAATTCCAGTGATAGTGATGTTGGATTTATCATGACATTGTTTGGACGGTATTTACTCTATTGGTGCTTTTGAAGGCTTTTGGGTGCTAGTAAATGCAAATTACTGCCATTTCATTTTATTTCAGTTTTAACTCTTTTGTAGTGCAGTGCTACACACTTGCTAGTACAATTGGAAGATAACTTGTGGGTATTCTAAATTGGTTATGCTTTTTTTTTTAAAACTAATTTTGGAACATTATTGATATATCATTCAAGAAAAAGGTCAAAATGATAGAAGTTATTTGTTATTCTGCTTAAGCAATTATGTTCTCTAATGATAAACATAAATATGAAATTGTAACTCTTCTGATTTGTTGAATGTTCACTGATTTTACTTGAAATTGCATGATAACAATCTAGGGCTCCTAGAAGGTATTTAGGATTCGAGTTTTGCGGGGAGGTGATTGTGGGATGGCAAGGGGAAGAAAATACGTGAATTTGACGGAGTTTGGATGGGGATAAATATCGCTCAACGACTTTACCGAATAAAAACAACAAAGAGCGTCAACACGATGAGGTACGAATATCGAGGAGGTTCACCTCCTATTCCTGCATAAACTACAGATACATCACTTGTAAAAGGAAAATGATACAATATTCCATTCGGGAAAAAGTCAGAGTTTCAATCTCTAGAACACACAAACCAAATCAAAAGCTGGAAGAAACTAGAAATAATCAGATGTAAATAGCTTTTCTCAAAACCCGAATTCTAATTAAAGAAAATATTAAATATGAGCCCCATGGGACTAGCGGCTGCAATAGGTAGGAAAATCCCGTGGTAGTATTTTAATGGGGTGAAAATTCTGTGTCTCACATAAGCAAGACCGTGCGATCCGCAAAACCATAGAATCAGGATTTCAACATCGAACACGATAGGAGCTCCCATGTCATTCTCCTCAGATAGGACAGATTTCACCTTTTTATTTAGAAGCTTCTGAAATTGATCTATCATCACCATAACAAAGTCATGACAATATTAAGACTGGGGAGCTCCACTAAAAAGTTGAAGCTCACATCCATCCAAGATAATTCTGAAACATGTACTTCCTTTCAAAGTCTATCCTAATAGAATAAATATCCTTTCTTTTTGGCACACTAGAGTTAGAATAACATATAGATATGTATTCTCTTTAACGAAGTCTCGAGCCATTAAATATAAAATATTTTTTTCTCACTTCTCGTATTCTGCTTGCCACATCCAATAACAAGTATGTCTAGAGAAACTATCTCTGGAATAAAACTTGTGACATATTAGATCACTCTCAGTGGAAAGCGCCTAAGAGATAAATGATCGGTCAATGTATCTAGCGACTCCTTCAACAAGGGCTATCTTTATTCTGGTATTGGCTCCTCAAACTCACTATATTCTAGAAAAATTAATGGTAATCAAGGTGGAGTCTCTCACATGGGTTCAACTTGAATTACTAGTGTTTCTTTCTCATCGGCTGGAAGTTGAGACTCCTCTGTGTCGTTTTCATCTTCTTTTGTGTAACTGCCCATTTCTTTAATGGTTCCATACTCAATGTGGGCAATCAAACATAATGTGGCCAAAAGCATGACACTTGAATCATTTATATGCAGGGATGGATTTAGGAGTATTGGTGGTCTCCACCTTTTCTCCACTCTGTTTGGGCTCCTCCTCTGGTTGGGTCAGTTTGGTTATTGCACTAGGCTTACCCTTACTACTTGATCCAATGGCTGAACTCTGTTTGTGCAATATGTGTAAAATAAGATAAATAATTTAAATAAAATAAATAAACAACCAATTCAATTAGAAATGTTCCAAATATGCAATTGTCTTGACAGTTTCATTATAAGGAGATGATTTTCTCCCTTAAAGCAACGATCAAACTAAGAGTGTGTGTGGCAGACATAAGTGAAGCAAGAGAAAAAGGATAAGAAGGGGAATAAAAGGGAAAACACACTCACAAGGGTTCTTAACATTCAGATGTGCCGCTTGCAGGAGGCTTGATTACTTCATATGCGAAGGAGAAGAACGAAGACCAAGGATAAGGGCTTCATGTTGGAGGAATCCGAAGAAGAGGAGTGGACGAACGACATCGGGAAGGGCGTCTTTGCATGTGGTGCAACATCGTTCTGTGAGGAGAGGCCAAAGTCAAAGTTAAAATCGAAGGAGGAGGTGACTCATGCAGTGAAGAAAAAGCCACATGCATATGGAGTGAGGAGACCGATGCCCTAGCATGTCGGGAGCCCCTGCGTTCTGAGAAAGAGAAAAGGGATTTTGCGAACCCTAAACTAAGACTGTGGATTTGAGTGGTCTGTTGTGAACGAAGAGGGAAAGGGAGCTAGCCATGTAGAAGGGGTGCTCGTTTCCGTGCATGCAGGAAGGTGTGCTTGCAAGTGTCTATTGATGCAGAGATGAGGGACCACATTTAAAGTGAGTTAGGGTTTTGTTTTTTATATCATAAAGCATAAATTTTATTTAATTTGATGTTACTAAGTAATATAATATATTTTAAATTATTAGCAAAGATTAAATCTTGGCATGTAGTTGAATTAAAGGATTGACATGTGAAGGAATTGACAACGGATCTGGAGGTTAGTTGTGGGATTTATATTTTTGGTTATATAAATTGTTTTAATCAAAAATATAAATTAATGATTCTATGTTCAGTTAATTATAGATAAATTGAAAATTAAACATTAATCAATTTATTTAATTGCTAAGGAGAGCAATGAATACAAATATTTTAAATAATAATAATAATAATAATAATAATAATAATAATAATAATAATAATAATAATAATAATAATAATAATAATAATAATAATAATAATAATAATAATAGCAAAAACAAACAACAACAGTTGTAATAATTAAAAAAATGTTCAATTAACGAAAACTTGCTTGAATCTTAAAAGTTTGATATTATGTTCTATATGTTATTAATTTCAATATAAAGATTATTGTGATTCCAAGCTGGTTACTGAAGATATAAAATTTATCGTGAAAATTGAGGTAAGTAAATATTTTTTTTTTCAATTTTAGTAATTTTTATATTATTTATATGTATGCTTGATTTTATTAATGATTTTTTTGAGTGAGTTTTAGAATATAACAAATTTTTCATATTGTTAGATAAGAAAATATGTATGTTAATTAGTTACACAACAAAATTCCTATAAATTAATTAGATTTTTGATCGATATCTAAATTATAACAAAGGTGCATATATAGTTTTTTGCATGACATTCAAATTCATGTAAAGTTGTATAAATTACCTTCGTGTTCTAATAGATGTACATTTATTTATTAGTAGATGAATGCAAAGTGTTGCATAAAATAATAGATGGCTGCACAACGAAGACGGGTAGCTGGAATGAGTGGGAGCAAAATGGGAGATTGTTGGAAAAGGGTGACAAGAGGTGATGGTGGTGGCTGGCTGGCAGCTAGAGTTGCAGGAAGATGCATGATTGCTGTATGATGGTTCCGCCTACGAGGAAAGGTGGCTGCGGATGTGAAGAAGACATTGCAGAGGATGTGAAATCAAGGATAAACATCTTCGTAGGATTGAACTACGATTAAAGCACCATTCGATTCTTGGGAGACAGTCACCACCTCGAACGAGTTATAATCGGAGCACATTCTCACCTTCAAATACAAACTTAGAAGGAGAAAATGAGAAGCCGACGGCTGTCATGAACATCAACATACGCAAAAATGAAAACCTGAACATGAGCATCAAATATATACGGCCTAGGTAATTAGGATTGGACCCACTGTTGACTGGAGGGGCCATATAAGGATGGTTGGCTGACCGTAAATTTACTGATTTGGCCAGTCCCATGTCGCTGGGTGTTTTTCCATGTTTGGTCTAGATTGTGGGACTATAGTAAAAGTTGCGTTAAGGGTACTGTGGTGACATTCACATCAAAAGGAATGATAATATGTGAGTCTATGACTTTTTGAAGGAGGTAGGAGACATTTTGGCGGTTGTCCTGGCTAAAAACATCAGAGAGAACCACAAACAGCGATGAGGTTCCACCACGCATTCCTAAACAAGTTACAATCACACTATTTGCATAAGAAAGAGAATACAACATTATTTGGGGATGAAATCAGAGAATACGATTTCCAAAATACATAAAACAATAGAAAGTTCCCTAAAATAGAAAATAAAATATATAAATAGCCCCCCAGTGTAAAAGCCCTAATTAGCCTTCAAATAGTAAAATAAAATAAAATATAAAGGGTCCATGGGTCTGGTGTCAAAATCCTGATGCAAGACTTTCTCCCTTTGGACCTATCAGGATGAAATCCCATGTTGGTTCCCACGTACGTGGGAAATTACTGCAGAACGTCCACTCCACCTCACATAGTTTCTGGACGTATGGGTTAGCTATTTGAGAAGGTTTTAATATGGAAAATTGGAATCTGATCTGCAGCTTTTCAAAGGCGTTTGAATTCCAAATGTATATTTTGCAACAACTTCATGCAAAATATCCGTGTTTTAAAAAAAAACCCCTTAAATCAACGCTTGCAATTGCTGCTTCTTAAAAATTATCCATCAAGGAGACATGGACCACAGACATTATGTTGTGCAACTGAACATTATTAACAGAAAAGATTGATTAGGTAGAGCATGGTTATTGGGGCGGCCTAAGTTAATGTGCTTGTATTGTTTTTCAAAAAGAGCAACCGTTGCAGAGTTGGCGCTATAGGAATCACTCACTGGTTTTGTTGCCTAGATTGTTTCATCGTGTTAAGGTAGCTGGGAATAGTATTCTTTTTGTATAGCCCAGTTGCGGTATTTATTTCCTTGAAATTCTCACACCGATCATGATTTATACTTAGTGAATATGGTACTAAGACATAGCAATCATCGATAGTTAATTGGCTTGCATGAAAGAAAGTTCCTATGGGCTTGGTGCGATGCACTGCATAATCATTTTCCCTATCCCTTTTGAATCTCGGAATTACAAATGGCATGATATTTGGGAATGTTTATATCTTGCTAACTGATTATTGTGGTATTACATTTTGAATATTTTTGTCTCCATTCAAGAAATTGATGATATGGCCTTGCACAGAATGATTTAACTACTGTTACTTTCCATGAAACCAGGCATTTGTTCCTCTATAATTTTCTGTTTATTTTCAAATAGGTCTCCTGGCAGAGCAGAAGTTGTTATTTCATTTTCTTGCAACTTTCTATTATCCGGTTCCACACAAACTGTACATTATTCTGCATCTAAGACATTGACAGTGGTGCCTGATCCTCCTATGGCTCTTGGCATGCAAGCAACATGGGTTCTTCCCCCATCTTACACAAGTTCAGATCTTCTGCCCTTGGCAGACTCTTATGGGTTGGATGTGCATAGTCACAGGGAAGGAGTCGTATATTCTGTGTTGAGGACCTGCGAAAGCAAACTAGATTCAATTACCATCCATGGTGGTAAAATCAAAACAAGGGAAAGCAATAATCTAGCTTGTATACAGGCAAAAGACCAATCTACTCAAAGGACTGAAATTGCATCATGTATTCGCGTTGCTCAGGTTATTTACTTGTCCATCATAACAAATGATTTTGTTATTTCACCCTTAATGTAAAATATTCTTTCGGCAACACAATATTGGGTATATTTTCTTTTACATATTTCAGAATCCTATATTCCTGATGTCTGCTCTTAAATCATTTGCTGGGTTTCATCTGCTTATCACTATTTAGTCTATTGAACTTTTACCTAGTTTTTTTAATAAATTTTTCTTGGGACAACGGTGATCTAAAGATGTTTTGTTTAATGGAAAAATTAAGCGGGGCATGTGAGGTTCCAGTTAAACTTGAGTTAAAGAGGTGAATATGGTGGGACTACCATAATTAGTGAAAGCATACCTGTAAAATATAAGTGCTTTATTAAGAAAAGGTGCGGAGAATGGGAGGATGTACGATTGAATTTATTTTACTTTTTTATGTAAAAGAATAAGATGAAAAATTTAACATTAATAGACAGAAAAATAAGTATAAAAGAAAAAAAAAAATTGGAAATTAGTTTTTAGTTATGGAATCTAGAATTAATTACACATAAAAAATAGAATGCTGCTGTCCTTATATTGCTCTAGATGTAAAGCCGTTGTCCATGAATCGTCATATTGCCTAGATGGAATGCTATACGGATTGCATTGCTAGACTACTGTAGATAGAAAGCTGCTATACATAATTACTGCATTGATGCGAATTGACCTTATAAAAGATTATTTCAACAGTAAGCATTGGTGACTTGCATTAATGAGCGAATAACATATATTGCCATTTTGTTTGACTGACAAGGTGTGTTTCATTAGTCATTGCATTATAGGGAGTTTTTCTTACAAATATATATTGCACTAACATGTTATACTAAACTAATGAATATTTAGTTCTCCATTTTATGCATTTTTTTATATTATATGTAAACAATCTAATAAAGCAAATGAAAACGAACTTGAAGATTTTACATGGAAGAAATCTGTATAACAGAACTTATTGTCAGTAATGATGGTTAATATAAATCAACCAACTGATTCTGTATTCAATGGGTTCTAGGCTAACTTTTCATCTTAAGAAGTCCTTGTACAGTTGATTTATTGATAATGGAAGTGAAATTTGGCTTTTCAATGAAGTGTTGAGGACCAGTCTGCATTATACTGGCATGTTAATTAAGGGAAAATGATGAAATTCTCTCCACTGGATATGATGAAAAAGGGAATACAGAATTGAAATTATTCCTACCGAGTAAATTTCTGAAGCCTGGTACAGCTTGTTCATCAGTATCATATTGTGTTTTTGGCCTTCTTTACCGTATGATCTTGATGAAAGATTCACTTCTTCAGTAAATTTCTATTAGCTGGTTGATTATACTATTGTTATAAATTAAAGAAAATTTTTGCATATTATTATTGAAAGCATACCTGTAAAATATAAGTGTTCTATTGATTACGATGGATATCATTTAAACTAGTCTTCATTTCATTTTCTTGAATTTGTTATTATATTTTAATAATATTAACTCACTCATTGCTTTGCTCCCTCAAGAATAACGAAAGTTGCAACTCATGTAATTTTTTTTAATATAATACTTTAACAAGATAAAGTTATGAGTTTAAAAAGGTAATTACTCAATTTTGCTAGAGTATAATGAAAAATACAACAGATCAATTGCATAAAGCTGAAGTATGAACCATTCAACGTTACATAAAATCAGCACTACATAAAAACAACGAAGAAATGCTCATTTGGATTATGTTGTTGGAAGCCTGGTAAAAACTAGTGTTTATACATATATATATATTTATATATACCGTCCTTTTTAAAAAAAAAAAAGAAAAAAAAATATAAATATATATATATATATTTCCACATATGGCTCACTCTGGTAAATAGAATTTGAGCTCTTATATCCTACAGGGCGTTGTCACCTATAATATACTTCCATCAAAATCATTAGGTTTCAAAACAAAATGAGTATCTATGCCTTCACTATAAAAATGGAACGGTGGTGACATATAGAATTGGAGAACCAAACAAAGATTCATAATTTATAGGGTTTGCAGAGGCAGGCATGATAGCTTCCGGATTTTGCAGTAAGTCATCACCATAGATAGAACCCAATGCGTATTTGATAGATTAGTTGAAAAATAGCTTATTTAACCCAGGGTGTACTTTCTTTTTTCTTAAACAACTATTTGCAGCAGATAGTTCTTTTACCTTGAGGTAGCTTACTAAATCCCAAATGCTATTCTTGTATAAGGATTTCATCTACTCTTGCAATCATCCACTTACAAGAGTCAATTGAATTAACTTTCTCTTATAACTATAAGATTCTCTACCACACACAATATCTTTGGCCACAGTCAACACATAAGTAACAAATTAGCTATTATGACACTTTTTTCCAGTTGATTGGCATGTAAGATGATGTTACTATGTCAATTTAAATCTCCACCTATTTGCTGGACCTATATTAGATCTTACAATAGGCGTTGCACATAACATACAAATCACATCAATAACATCTCTATTAATGAAAACTTTATTATTTTTTGGCACTATAATCTGTATTCTTTAGCAGTTGTCTTATAACTAAGAAAAATACATTTTATAATTCCAATCTCTAATTTGTGATTTTTAACATGAGCATAAGTGAGATGGTTAAAAATTTTTAAATCGAGTAATTTATAGATTTACTGGAATGAACCTCTTGTAGAGTCTTCTTACTATAGCAATAAAAGGAAAGCAATTTAGTAAGTAGCCTGCTTTAGTGTTGATTCTAGTCCAAAGTAACCTTGGTACCCAACGTTAGAGAGTATGTAAATGCACCTTCTTTATTATCATCCTAATCATTTACTCAGTTATGCCATTTTACTGTGACATATGCCTTTCTGTCATGTTTCTCAAATTTTCTTCTAATTTATAGAAGTCATTAAATTCTCTTGAACAAAACTCCAAGTCATTATTATTATGGAGATATTTGATCTGTTTCTCAATTTACTTTTCAATTTTGTTCTCTTACTCCTTAAAATAATAAACATATAATCATTTTTGGAATAAGGCACAAACTTTTTTTAGAGAAGATAATAATCAATAGCATATATCAGACACCACCTTTGGAAGACATTGTGGATGGTTCCCAGAGATTAGAATGTCTGCAGTCAAATATTTTCATAGTATTGTGAATGTTTGTGCTAGACTTAGCTCTTTTCAACTTCTCAAATATGTTGTGTTCATAGACTTTCAAATTATCATTGTTTTGATCATCAAGAAGTTCTCTTTTGTCTTGTTCACCCATTCTATTCTCAAATCAAGAATATATCTTACATTACTAAGTGCTCTAATGATTTCGTCAAACATCTAAATTTCAGAAATTTCAATATCAACTACATGATAAAGGTCATTATTTTTTTGTTAATACAGTACTCTTTCGTCATTATTTCATATGTTAAAAATCAGTCTTTAATGGGACAGGTATGAAACTTGCAAGCCAAATCGTGAACATAATGATCTTTTGGTTCACCATCTAAACACAAATATGGGTATACGAGCATGACACGACGCAATACGGGGACACAATACAATTGAAAAAAATAGGACACAACACGTCATGGAAACATTTTTATATTTATTTAATTATTATTATAAAATATTTATTTTTTCATTATTCCTTTTTAAAAATATTACAACACAAATTATGCAAGAATAAAATTTAACTTTATAAATTTAATTTATATTATAAAGCTTCATGCTTAAGTTTTAAAGTTAAATTTAATATCTTTAAAAAGAATTCATCAAACTTGTATACACTAAAATTAAAAAAACCTTGTGATTACAATGTAGGAATTACTAATGGTCGGCTTCAAAGAGTATTGGGTGCACCTTCGATGAGTATTGCTTGTACCTTCGATGCTCGATTTTGACGAATTTTAGAGGGAGCAATATGATGAGAGATGGGGTGATTTTGACTATTAGATATAATTAGAACTCTACATATACTTATAATTTTCTAATTCACGTGCCCAATTTTCTCGAAATAGTGTTAAGCTCACGTTCGATGTGGCGTTGAGGTGTGTCCCAGACGTGTTTGAGCCTGAAAAAAATTCAGAAATATATTTTATAGTGTCGGAAAAATGTTGAGGTGTGTCAGACGAGTGTCGGTGTTTAATACGTGTCCGACACGGGTACAAACATAAGTGCTAATTAGGAATTCACTATCACCAGTAGCTTCTTACAACACCGGTTTCACAGAAATAATTTAGTTGTTTTATTTTCCAAGTATGAGTTGTCTTCTTATTTTTATTCTACAATTTATAACATTTGAATTTGATGTTATTTTTTCTTGCAGTAATTTTAGTCATTCTTGTTCCTGAATTTTCATCAATATTTCGTATAAGTATCAGAACTCGTTTTTGGAGCTCTCCAAATAATAAGTCCTATTTCTTTAGCACTTGTTCATCCACATGAGGATTTTTTTTTTTTTTTGATAACATATAGCATCTTAAATTTTATTTTGCGTGTCTCCCTACATATGGTATCTTTGTAAGTTGTATATGATGTAGGCAGCGGACATGATAGAATTAACACCAAGCGTTCTTCATCATACTTAACCTCCATTATCATCCATGTACTTTAAAATAAGTTAATTTTGTAAAGTTAATTAAGTGATTTATAAAGCTGTGCCTTCAACTATCCTATGAGAGTGCAAACTCTGCTTCAAATGCAGCTTACTGGTGAGACATTTGTTACACTAAACTGTTTTAATTTCAGCCATATTGCGACAAAAGTTCTCTTTTTAAAAATCCTTTTAAATTTGATATAACATATGAAGATAAATTTAGATAAAACTTTACAACCATTGTGTTGTTTGTCCTCCAACATTTGCGTTGAAGGCATTTTCTTAAACCCTGAAATTATATCATTTAAATCTGTTTTCACGAACACAGTCGCATCATAACCTGCCAAAGCAAAAAATTAGTGTTGTGATCCAATAGTAGAATGTCATACTTCATTGTTTCCATTACTGAGATCAAAACCAATGATCTGATATCATTTTTTATGAAATTTGTGCGTTGCAAAACAAAAGAAGCAAAATAAAAAACACACATTTACGTGGAAAATCTTAGGAGGGAAAAGTGAGGGCAAGTTATAAGGAAATTTGTTATACCTGAAGTATATTATAAACCGGAGAACTTAGGTTTTGGCGTTGTGGTTCACCTTTTTTTTAGTTTGCCAAACTCTAATGAAAATATCACGCACACACACACTTATATAGTTCGGTTTGACGCCCATTTAGAAGTGACCGAAAATATAGAAGACATGAAATTTCGTACCCTGGAGTTTGGGGTGGAGCCTATTGGCCCAAGCACTTTGTTATTTCTGCAGATTGCCAAAAACATTTATCACTTATTATTGGTTGTCATATATGTTGCACTATGAACTTTTTAGGGTCCAAATTCTAACTCTTCCTAAAAAAATGAGTGCAAGTTTTGTGTAGAAATGATGATCGCTGCTTATATTTTTATGTAATTGAGTCTTGGTGAAATTGAAGAGGAAAGTGGTATAAACGTAAAAGATGTGATCCCAAGTTAGAAAATTCACCAGTAATTTTTGCGAAAGAATTAAAGTTTTGTGCAACATGTGCTACATGATTTGGGGAAATGTGAGCAACTAATGGAGCCTGTTATGGTATGACTCATATACCATATAGGGACAGATGCTGACACGGAGCAGAGCGGAAGAATCTGTCAAAATCGGGAAGTTACGTTATGTAGGTTGAGGGTGCTAGGTCGACACCCCGCTATACGGTACATGGGTAATTTGGGAATTATATATTGTAATGTAGGGTTTATTCTAGGATTATAAATAGACCTGTTTGTAATCCTGGATTTTAGAGAGAGCTGAATTCCTCTATTCTGTAACCTCTTTTCTGAATATTGAAAGGAACTCGCTGCTCTACTCCCGAGGACGTAGGCATCTTTGCCGAACCTCATTAAATCTCTTTGTGTTCTTCTGGATTTGTATCGTTATTAATCGTTCGTTATTATTTTTCTTCGCCCTAATTTCTCAACAAGTGGTATTAGAGTGAGATTCGAGGGGAAGAAAATTTTCGGCACAGGAAGGACTCCGACGATTTGTGTTAGGCTAGGGCTGTTGGTGTTTTGGCAGCTCGGCACAGAAACATCAGTGAATCGGCCCGACGCAGCTTCTTCCGACAGTTTGCGAGGAAGTCTGTGTGGTTCAGCGAAGCTCGTCAGCGGAGGATCAGTTTTGCGACTCGGTGGTTTGCAAAGTAACAAGTGGTTCGCGATTGTGGAATTTCCTTGAAGGAAGCGGAAGATCGGGAGGCGGGGAGGCGGAAGACAGCTTTCCCGTTGGCCATCGAACTGGCGGATCGCGTTTCACGAACAAGCGGATCGCAAGCGAACAGGTTCGACGACAAGCAGGGAAGAATTCTTTTGGATTGTCGCGCTGCGGCAGGGCAGTTCGGCAGGGACGGACCAAAAAAGGAGGCTGCCTTTGCGGTTGGAGCTGTTTCCTGTGGAGGTAATTCCGGAAAAGGAAAGGAGTTCCTCTGCGCATGGAGAAGGAAGGGAATCAACCCAGATTTGTTTCCGTTTGCAGATTTGTTTCCGTTTGCTTGGCCTGAATTGCCGCTGGTTCCCGTTTCAGGGAATTCTGAATTTGGTTTGTTGAAGAAATTGGAAGCTTTTTGCTGCGGAGACCGAACATTTCTTCGGAGGCAGGAAGCAAAATCGGAGGGTCCCGATTATCTTGGGAGGCGATTCAGATTTCATTCCTTTGCTGGAGCGAGCGGAGAAAACTGCGGAGAAGTAAATTTGAAAGATTCTTCAAATCTTGCGGTGCAGCGGAGCTATTCCAGGACGCCGAAAAGGAAAGTTCAGAGGAAATTTTGGAAGGAAAGTGGAGTGGAGTAATTGGAATGTGATTTTTTTTCCTTTACTGGAGCCGCAAAACATTTTCTTTTGGTGGATTTTCTTTGTTGGATCTGCGGAGATTTCTGGCAGGATCAAAGTGAGTAAAATTTCTGGCTCAATAAGGAATCTTGTGGAGAAGAAAATTTGGAAGTTTTTTCTGAATTTTCTTGGCTGGAGGAAGGGAATCTGGCTGGAGGAAGGGAATCGGAATCTTGGCTATTGCGCAGGAGAATATAAAATTTTACGGATTGTTCGCAAGGCAGACGGGCTCGCGGGAACGAACAAGTGCGAAGCAATTCGGATAAAGGGTTGTGGCAGTTCAGCAAGTTATGCTTCGGGGAGTTCGTGGTAGAGGCGGCGTCGCGAATTCGAGGCGCGACAGTTCATGAACCTTCGCGGCATTAGGCAAGGCGGAGTTAGCGAACAGGAGTTCGTGTGCAGTTACCGCAAACAGGAGCGTTTGCAAACAGAGGAGTTTGGTGGTGTTCGACCAGCGAAGTCTGCAAGTTCATCACAGGAGGAGTTGCGACAGGTTGAGTTTGGTAGAGTGCTGGCGAGCGAGCAGACGCGATTATTCTCGAACAGTGGTTTCGCGGAGGTATTTCGCGAAGGGTTTTACTCACAGGACAGTATTTTAGCCGAGGTGCTGGTGCAAACAGGAAAATTGCTTCAACCCACATTTATGCATAAGAAATTTCATGATATATTTCTCCTAAAGGGTTTGATATTTGCAAGGTGGAGCTTTTCTTCTAAGGGGTTGAATATTCGCAAGGTGGAGATTTTCTCCTAAAGGGCAGAATATTCGAAATGTGGAGATTTTTCTCCTAAGGGATTGAACATTTGCAAGGTGGAAATTTTCTTTTAAAGGGCTGGATATTCGCCAAGGTGGAGAATTATTAGGTATGACTCATATTACCAGAATTTGGAGTCTCTTTGAATGAAGAGATGTCTCTTGGAATTGAAGAGGTGTGTCTCTTGGAATTTAGTGGGTTGAGATCAGCGTGGGCGCAGCAGAAGCATGGTGACCCAACCCACATTGGTGCAGGTGTACAAAATCTTTAACATACGTTGGAACGAAGCGAAGCGGAAGAATTTGTCTAAATCGGGAAGATAGGAAGTTACGTTATGTAGGTTAGGGACAGACGCTGGAACGAAGCGAAGCAGGGCAGAGCGAAGCGGAAGAATTTGTCTAAATCGGGAAGTTACGTTATGTAGGTTAGGGGTGCTGGGTCAACGCCCCGCTATACGGTACAGGGGTAATTTGAGAATTACATATTGTACTGTACAATTTACTCTAGGATTATAAATAGACCTGCTTGTAATCCTAAGTCTTAGAGAGAGCTGAATTTTTCTGTTCTGTAACCTCTTTTCTGAATATTAAAAGGAACTCGCCGCTTTGCTTCCGAGGACGTAGACATCTTTGTTGAATCTCGTTAAATCTCTTTGTGTTCTTCTGAATTTGTGTCGTTCTTGTTTTTCTTCGCCCTAATTTCTCAACAGAGCCTCCAAAATAAATGGCACTAAAAGCGGATACGATGGCTGGAGCAGAAGAGCCACTAGGATTGTCGATACATCTTAGGAGGTGAGTGGCAAAGATGGGAGAGGGATTGAGGAGATGGAGTGATGACGAGCACTTCTTGATAACAATGAGGCTACTAGCGGCAAGGGTTTAGAGTGAGGGAAGAAGTTTCCCGATTGAGAGAATAGTTGCTAATGAGGGAGGAGCAGTAGGCCATGGCCTTAGGTGACCCACTAGAAGCCATCAAATGCAAGCCACACAATCTCGCGCGAGCGAGAACGACCATGAGCGCACAAGAGTGCAGTTGGCTTGTGAAACCGAACCAGCCTAAGCGATAAAGTAGTTAAATGTGGGGAAACCAGTGCTAGTTTAGCACACAAGTGCGAGGCGATTCGAACGAGGTTGGGAGCCTCGGCGATAAAGTAGTAAAAGGTTGCCAGACAGGTGCTAAATAAGTACAGGAGCGCGACAATAATTTGAATGAAGATAGGAACTAGGGTGTTGAGTAAGCGGTAAGTGGCACAAAGTTAAACATGTTAGTTATGCCATATGGATATTTAACCTAGGTGCCATGTATTGGTTAATTAATTTTGTTTGTTATATTTAGAGACAAATGTTTATTATTTTCTCAGGTGGCACAAGTAAGGGTATCTGCAGCAGATTATTCTTTCCATTTGGCATACCTTGGTGTAAATGCAAGGCTGGAGTTAAAAATTAACTACTGTGACGAGTTAGGTAATTTTTCTTTATTTGCATTCTACCTTCTCTTTCATTTGTTTATTCTTTTCTGAAATTTTTATGTGCGTTGCCATAATTGTTTTGTTTTGCTTAGGATTCACATTTGCTGAAGCAAATGGTGTGGTTCCACTGGATGTTGAGATTAATTACCCAGATATACTATCCATTGAAATGCCTGATACTCGAGATATAACATCCGCTGAAAAAATCTTTCTACTGGTTTGCTTACTTCCTTTTTTGAATGCAAATTTATATTTTAATGCCTGTGGGTTCACGAGAGCTTAGATCAAATGATCATTGGGATCTTAAAGATTTTTTTTTCTATATCTTCTATGACATCTTTTTAAATAAATTTCTCTGGTTTGAAGGGGAAAAGTCCCGGGAGAGCCCTTGTACAGATATCAATCCGTCACAATCCAAAGAAGGCAGACTTCATTCTAGTGAGTTTTTTCTTTTTTCTTTTCTCCCCTTGAAAGGGTTGAATTCTGTTGTCAACCTGACGTGCTTCTCAATATAACTAGAACTTCTTATGCTGTTTTTTCTATGGTGTGAATTTTGTTTTTTTCTTCCTGTCTTCAGGTGTCGGTTGGTGCACAGTTGTATCCACAGAATCCGGTCTTAAATATGGGAAATTCTATCAATTTTTCTGTAATGGCTGATGGTTTGTCCTTTCTACATTAATTTTCTTTTCCCACAGTTAATCTTGTTTTTCAGCTTTTTTTAGAGTACGTGATTTGAAATTTGCGAACTCTTTTGATCATTATGATTACTTTTTGGAACTTCTTCATGGGTGATTATTCGTCAAGGAATATATGCCTTCCAAATCCATGTGAAATTTTTCTGTTCCGTGATTTGAGCACAATATATCTTCTTAATGCTGTAAATCCATTTGGTTGTGGCCTTGTGGGTGATAATGGAGGCATTGCAATCAAAGAAACTGTAATTATCATTCTTGAGAGCTGTTGCATTGCAAACCTTACGGTGCTTTTCACCTTGATGTTGATGCATAAATTTTCATCTTTTTTTGGCGCATATATGATACCGATCTAGAGCTCCTAGAAGGTATTTAGGAAAATAATTTAGTGGGAAGTGGTTGTTGAATAGCGAGAGAATGAAATACGGTAGTTTGACGGCGTTTGGAATGATGTAGGGATGACAAATCTGCTGTTGGACAGCAGGTGTGGCGAGTACTGCAGCAGTTTGTAGTGAAAGCAGCCGCCTATGGTATTGGCGAGGTACAAGCGGCTGGACAGAGAACTGAAAGCGATAAAACTGTAATTTTCTGCTGTAACCAGCAGCTGGAAGTTCTTCGACAACTGTGTGAATGAAAACAATGGGTAGAATAATGAAAGACAAGATACAGTCCGTGAGAAGGTTCAACTACCTGTTCTTAAACAAGATACAAATACACCACTTGTAAAAGGAAGATGATACAAAACTTATTAGAGAAGAATTCAAAAAACACAATCTCTAGAAACACACAAATAAGCCAAAAGCACCCTCAACTAGAAAAAAAACATATATAATCCGGAGTTAACCTAAACTACAATAGGAAAATTAAATATTAATACTAAAAACAAATAGACAGTTAGAAATAACACATTTGAAAGGGAAAATACAATAATGTGACACCCTAACATTTGAAATCGCAATGGACATGACAAACACTCAAGCTAGGGTGGATCTCAAGATGGTTGTGGCGACCTACAAGGTTTTAGAAGGCAGTGGGATGGTTGACGAGGTTGTTAGCTAGCCGAAACATCAGAACAATGACTTCTTGGGTTCCGGATAGAAGTATGCGACATATATCTACGTGGTACAACTGTTTGAGATAATGAAAGCAAAGGGGAGGCTTGGAGCAGAAGCGACAATAAAGATGGAGGGCTGGAACTGTGATAAGGGATGTTGTGGACTGCTGAAGAACCAAAGGAAGGTTGTCCTCGGCGGGGGTGGAAAAGGGATGGAAAAGGAGGAAATTGCAGGAAACAACAAAAGAGCTATTGTAGGTGCAGCCTGCAGCTAGGAGGAATGCGTGGCAATGAAGAGGGAGGGATGTAGAGGAGTTGAGAAAGGATAAAATCACCTGGATACAATCAAAGTACCACCTGGAATCATAGGATATATCCCTCAATTGGAAAAAGAGATGTTGGTGGTTGCCTCGATACAAAACACAAAAATATTGACTTTCAAACCCTAATAAAACACACATATAAAAAATGACTAAAAATAAATGAAGGATAATAAAAAAGAAAACAAAAAAAAGAAATTTGGATTTATTTGGCTTGTCTCCCCATCTCCCGCAATGGCAGGAGCTGTGCGACTCGTGTACCATGTCCGGAGCAAAGCGTTCTCGTGTTTCACGTAGAAATGAGAAAAATAGGAAATTGAAAGATGAGAAATAAATGAATAGGAAATAAATAAAAAAGGAAAGAAATATGTTTAAGATAGGAAAATTCGAGCGGCTTTGTCGATTGTCGCTACCTCTCCCATAGCCCTACGTTTCGCATTCTGTGGAATCGCGAAACCCACAGAAAAGACGCCCCGCATCAACACATCTTCATATGTTCTAACCAAAACAATCTTATTGTGAAGGAAAACAACACTGTCACGTATTATTCAACTGAAAACATATGTGATATATTTATATACACTTCAATTTCTGTAGTTTATGAATATCTCTAATAGAGGAAAGATTCAGTAATTAGATCTCCTCTAATTAGGTTATCTAATATTAAAAATACATTTATTATATTTCCTATAATCAAGTTATCTATAATCAAACTTTCTAAATATACAATCATTGGCTTTATTACTTTCCATAACACTCCCCATCAAGCTCAAGCATAGATATATCATGCCCGGTCCATAAAGTCCACTAGTTCTTACCTAGCCTTTAAATGACCTATAAAAATCAAATGTTGTTGAATCTTTTCACGTGAAAAATAACAATCTATCTTAATGTGCTTTGTTCGTTCATGGAAGATAGAGTTTGAAGCAAAATAAATTGTAGAATGGCTATGACACCAAAATTTTACTGAAAATGGCAATCTTAAAGCTCATTTCGATCAAGAATTGGGAAACCCATATCAATTCACTTGATTTTTTTACCATTTGTCGGTAGTCAAATCTTGCATTGGATCGTGACACTATATTTTATTTCTTCTCCATGAAACCAAATTACTACTAACAAAAATGCTATCTAGTAATGAATCTCATATCAATGTTGTAACTTACCCAATTTGCATCAGTGAAACTTTCAATATTTCTATGCCCATGATTCTGATATAGTGTCACGATCCGGCCCGAGGCTCAGAATTAACCAAGATGGGAACGGACGGTTGGACAGTGAAAATTAATTCTCTGTTATTCTATTTCTATCACTAACAGTTTAATATTTAAATATATATGAAAAAACAATTAAAGAAACATGAAAGAGCCACTAAAGAAAATAAATAAATTAACAAATAGAAATGTGAACCTTTTTAGTTGTCGTACTCGCCTTCTATGGACATTTCCTCTTCTTCTATCCAGCTTGTTCAAATGCTTAAAACCTAAAAATAATATTAAAGCAACATAATGAGTTATCTAAAGATAACCCAAGAGTAATCACAGTCATAAATTATAGTAATCTAAGGAAAAAAAATCGATATTCATGTTGGTCTTTTATATCTCTATAAAAAATCTTATAATATGCTAGTCTTTCATATTTCTATAAGGAATATGTTAATATGTTAATACATGTATCAATGTGAAATTGGAGATATAGCTGGAAGTTGTCCGCATATGTAATACACCTTCAACCCAAGTAAACATTTACCACGATGTTGCTTCTCACCTTTATCATAGGGTTGTATAGTGCTATTGCTTCTCACCTTTAGCAGAGGATAATAGATTGTGGCACTATACCTCGTAGTGAGCAACCGAGGATGATCATTCTTTCAAGTGTTTATTCCTTTACTCATCAGTAATCAGAGGAGTATGTTGCCACTGATGTTGATGCATAGTTTGATGGATGAATTGTCTATTGGGTGTTATGTTGGATTTATCAAATTTATAGTTTATCACATATGTTTTAGGTACCACTTAACAAGAAACAGATTTTTATAATCACTTTATGTTTTATCCTCATAAAATATATAGTTGGCATGGAGTTCATAAATTTTGAGGACGAATATAGGCTGTTAAGCTCAACATAAAGGTCATCGCAACCTGCAGTTGGCCATCAAAGACTAAGATTTTAGCATGACAACTGAGTTGAGTAATTAAACAGTCTGGGTCGGGCTGGTATCATTATTGTTTTGTGAGATAAGCAAGGAGAGCTCATTTGGGGAAAAATCTTTTTCATTGGGACAACACTCAAGTGGAGATGATGGCTTTGTTAGCTCTTCCTACACTCATTGAAGATTGGATAATCGAATGTCGGGGGATTATTATAGAAAGTGACAATTTGAATATTACTGACATTCTCCGAAGGAGCATAGTAAAGCAGTGCTGACAACTTCAGATTCCCAATAATCCAAATTTTGGTTTTTTTGCCCATATATATATATATAGCTTTTCATTCCAAACCTTATCGCTATCATTTTAAATTTCTTAATGTTTGGGCTACTCACACCACTTTCATTGACTTGATTAAGTAGGCTTGGGTTTCTAGAGAAAGTGAGAATCCTTGGCTTATTTTGTGGCAACTACATAAGAATGTGGAATTTCATTTAAAGTGATGGAATATTGATACTTTTGGTAATGTTCACTCTATGGTTCTAAAGGCCCAACAGGAGGTGGATTCTTTAGAAGCTCAGGTGATTGCTACTCCCGATCTCGTGTCTAAGCTAGCTGATGCTCATCACATTTTTTTAGAAGAAATTTCTATTAAGGAGGATTTCCTTAGACAGAAACCTTGTGATAATCATTTCAAGAATGATGATAGAAACACTAAATATTTTCATGCTACTATCAAACATCGTCGTAACATAAATGCCATCATCATGATTGTCACTGAGGACTCTGTTCTCACTGATATTGATTAGATTGGTTCTAATGCAGTTGATTATTTTTCTTCTCTTTATGCTGATGCTCTACCTGTCACTGATATTATTTTTTATTTTTTTGAGGACCAGAGAGATATGATTTTCAATCTCTCTTTGTCTAACCCCCCTACTGAGTTGAAAATTTTCAATGCTCTTAAAGATATTAGCTCACAGAAGGCTCCTGGTCTCGATGGTTTCACCTCCACTTTTTATATTTCATGTTGGAGCATTATTAAGAATGATGTAATGCTGGCTATTCAAAGCTTTTTCCAAGGAGTTGACCTTACAAAGTATTTATCTGCTGTTCTGATTGTTCTCATCATTAAGTCTAATACAAAATCACACTGGAAGGATTTTTTGTCTCTAAAATTATCAACAAAGTGATTGTGGTCTGTCTTAAACCTCTCCTTCTCTTATTTCTCCTCAACAATCGGCCTTCATTAAAGGTCGTGATATTTCTGATAATATTATATTGGCACATGAAATTTTACAGGATCTTGATAAAAATTGCAGGGGGGAGTGGCAATCTGGTTATCAAACTTGATATCAAAAAAGCCTTTGATACCTTAAATTCGGATTTTATCATCAACGTTCTAAAAGCTAGAGGTTTCAATACAAGTCTCTGCTCTTTGAT